TAATTATTTTATTCTGAGGTTGCTAACTCTAATGGAAAGGTATATATAGAGATATATAGAGATAACTTACTTTCTTATTCTAGTCTAAGACATTTCCATCAGACATTAGTGCCTGACCTGTAAGTAATTTCATCTTATGATTGACATCCTTGTAAGTAAATACCTATAATCACCTATAGAGATAGGATCCAACTCTTTTACTTTAAGATTATATGTACATAGTAAATGGTTATTAATTTATGACCCAATGTATGACACATCTTCTAATAGTAGATATAATAATAATCATTGTAGAATATCACACTAATAAATACAAACTAAGTATAGATCTGAAACAAACATCAGAAAATAGGATCATGCACAGATATCTTATATATCATACATTCATGTTTTTAATGACAATTGAAAATCAAAACAATAAATATGTTTTTATGAAGGATACAGTTATGTAATACTACACTAAAATAACTATAAGTATCAGTCATAAACTTTCCTGTGATATAGAAAAATTCAAATGCAAACAATTTGAATGGACTTATTCTTAAGTTTAACAATAAAAATCCTCAGTGATCAGCAGTTGTTTTCTTACTATTTTCTTTCTTATATCATATTTGCTAACCATCTTCTTTTCATTTAAAGGAAATTGAATTATGCCCTTTTTGGAAACTCTGCCATTAACTCAGATGTCAATTATAATTACTTTGATAACTATAGATGGCATGTTTTGCTTCTGTTAGAGGTTATATGATGGAAAAAATCCAATGGCCATCAGTCATTCTTTGTGTTCATTACTAAAGTAGACATTTATATATTAAAGAAAAATAACATTTTCTGAGTACTCAACATCTTTCTTCCATACTTATAGTAAAAAAAAAAAACTATGGACTATACTACCTGCACATCATTAATAAGATGCTAGGGTCAACACTAATGTTCTATTGATTATAAATCACAGAACCCTAATATTTATCCCCTTTCAACCCAGTGTTCCTTCAAAGCAGATTTTATGTATACTTAAAGAAAGTGAGCTGCACATTTCTCAAAATAAATTTTTTGATCTAAGACAAATATAATAAAAGCAAAAGAGAAGGAGTGTGTCTATCTCTTCTTCCTCTTCTTCTTCTCTCTCTCTCTCTCTCTCTCTCTCTCTCTCTCTCTCTCTCTCTCTTTCACCTATTAAGGCAGTGTCTTTCTGCTCTGCTTGGTCATTGCAATCTAGTATTATGGGCAACTTATGTAAATAACGGAGGACTACTTTCTAATTCTTTCCTGTGTGAGTGAGGAAATTCTCTTAGAGAGGATATGAAAGACTATATACAAAACATGTGACCTATTTTAGTGACAGATTAATTTAGGAGAATATATATTTGGTATCTGTTGGATGTAAAATTCTGTTATTATTTCTTCTTTAAATAAAGATTTATTGTAAAATTTGTAAACAATTTTTCTTTTCTTCCTTCTTTGCTATCTTTTCTTTTTGTCTTTTTTTGAGACAGGGTTTCTCTGTGTAGCTCTGGATATCCTGGAACTTGCTCTGTAGACCACTGTGGCCTTGAACTCTGAGATCCTCTTGCCTCTACCTTCCATGTGCTGGGATAAAGGCATTTAACATCATAAAAACAAACCATTTGTTTGTTTTCTCTTTTTGTTTCCCAACATCTGCTTAACGCCTTAGTTTGTCTGACTGGTCAAAAGATGAATGATATACTAAGTCATTCACTATTATTGTCTCAAGAGCTAAGCTGATTTTTATCTTCATTAGCATTTGTATTATGATGTTGGAAACTTCAAAGTTTGATTTATATATACTTACACTTATTTTATATATGTATATATATGTGTATGCATATATATATTGTTTTTTTAAATTTATTATTTTTCTTTTTATATATCAATCCCCATTTCTTCTCCTTCTCCTCCTCCTACTTTCTCCAATTTCTCCTCATCCCTACCCTCATCCACTCCTCAGAGAGGGAGAGGCCTCCCATGGGGAGTCAACAAAGTCTGTCACATTATTTTGAGGCAGGACCAATGCTGACCCCATATCTGGGCTGAGCAAGATATCTCTCCATAGGGAATGGGCTCCAACAATCTAGTTCATGCACTAGGGATAAATGCTAACCCTTATGCCAGTTACCCTAAAAACTACTCAAGCTACACACTGTCCCCCACAGTTAGAGGACCTAGTTCAGGCCTATTCAGGTTCCCCATCTGTCAGTTCAGAATTAGTGAACTTGCACTAGTTCAGGTATGCTGTTTCTCCATCATGGTCTTGACCCTTTGGCTCATATTATCACCCCTCCCTCTCTTCATTTGGAATCCAGTATCTCAGCCCAAGATTTAACTATGTCCTCACTTGTTGACTAAGGTTTCTGTCCTGCCCAGTTCCCACAGTCATTAAGTTCCAGAGAAGTCACACAGGGGTCTACATTTGTTATAAACTGATTGTCCCATTAGCTCAAGCTTCTTATTAACTCTTATAATGTATATTAGCCCATTATTCTTGTCTATGTTAGCCACATGGCTCAGTACCCTATTCAGTGAGACACTCACATCTTACTTCTTCTGTGGCTGGTTCATGAGAGAAGACTAGGACTTCCTTCTTTCCAGAATTCTCCTGTTCTCATTGATCCACTTCTACCTCTTGTTTGGTTGTCCCACCTATACTTCCTGCCTGGCTACTGGTCAACCAGTGCTTATTTAAAAATATAATTGACAGAATAAAGACCATTGTCCCACACCATTTCCCCCCTTTTTAAAAGAACTCTGAATCTAATATCCTTTATTTAGCTTTTCTCCTGACCATTAGCCATAACAACTTACCACACACATTTGAAACAAAGGAAAATATGCATAGTCCATTTTTGGGGAATGTGGGTGTAGTTTTCCTGGCTATCTCCAGCTGGTTGGGGGTGCTGATAATCTCATGGGGACCTAAAGAAAATTTAGAATTATGATCAAGTCCTGACTGGAGTATCCTATAAGGCTTGATCATCTCAGGGAGCATCGTGAATCTGTTTTGGATGTAGAATTCAGATATCTTGGCCATCTGTTGCTACCAGAGATTTCTCCGGTGGTCTTCCCTGATCAAACTGGATTTTTTTTAAAAAACTCAGAATGAATCCACAGCTTCTCTTTTTCTGTGCAAACAAAATCAAAACCTAATCTCAAAAGTAACATATCTTTGACTTCAATTTTGAAGTCAAGGTATTTTCAAAATAGTTATCTTGGATTAATTCAGAAGCATTTATAAGCAAATATCTTTTAGCAGCTGTTGCTCCTTCCTCCGCATTCAAACAATTCAAAGTGAGTATAATAATATACAAAGAACTCAAGAAGAACAAATAATCCAATTAAAAATATGAATACAGACATAAGAAAAGAACTCTCAAAAGACGAATCTAAAATGGCTGAAAGACGCTTAAGGAAATGTTCAGCATCCTTAGTCATCAGATAAATGCAATTCAAAACAACTCTGAAATTTCATCTTATACCTGTAAGAATGACCAAGGTCGAAAACACTGATGACGATTTATGTTGCAGCATTTGTGGGGTAAAGTGAACACTCCTGCATTGCTGGTGGGAATGCAAGCTGGTACAGTCCCATTGGATGTCAGTGTGGTGATTTCTCGAAAAATTAAGAAACAACCTCCCTCAAGACACGGTAATACCAATTTTGGGTATATATCCAAAGGATGCCCAATCATACCCCAAGGACATGTACTCAGCTATGTTCATAGCAGCATTGTTTGTCATAGCCAGAATCTGGAAACAACCTAAATGCCTTTCAACCAAAGAATGGATAAGGAAAATGTGGTACATTTACACAATGGAATACTACACAGCAGAAAAAAATAACGGCATCATGAATTTTGCAGGCAAATGGATAAAGCTAGAAAACAACATTTTCTCAGGTTATCAGAGAGCATATTCATATGGACTTTGAAAATGTTGGTTGATAATCATATTTAATGCCACTAAAAATTGAATACCCAGAAAAACTGAATATTATTCTCTCCTTTTATTTTATTTTTTTTTCTTTTTTGCTTTATATTACTTTTTTCTTTCGTTTTTCAAGACAGGGTTTCTCTGTGGGATTGTCTGGCTGTTCTGGACTCACAAGGAAGACTAGGCTGGCCTTAAACTCACTGAGATACACCTGCCTCTGCCTCTTAAATGCTGGGATTTAAGGCATGTGCCACCATCACCTAGCTTATTCTCTCACTTTTTATGCTTCTTTTATAATTAGCCTTTAAAACGTTTTCATGATATTTATTATTCTACAGTAATGCTTCTTTTTGATAAAATAATACTGATATTAGTTTTAATGAGGCTATAAACAAAAATATTATGTCCTTTCATCTGATCATGTCTGTTGTTGTGATGGTTTGCTTACCCTAAACCTCTTGTTCTCTCAAAATTAATGTGTAAGAGATTGTTTTTCATTGTTTTTATATATGCATATGTATACAGAGACACAAATATATATGAAATATATACACACAGACACACACATGTATATTTTTCATTATAATGTGAATAAACTAAAAATTCTGTTTATTCTGTCTACAAATATCCTAAGATTTGGGTCAGTTTTTATGTAAATTATATGAAATACAACAATGTATAACATTCACAATGTTTTATACCTGAAGTAGTATTTTTCCTTGGTTTAATTAGTATCAAGAATGTTTCATAATAAAATTAGCTGAGGTTAAAAGTCAAATAATATGTGTATTTCACAATTTTAAAAGACGTTTTTCTACCAATTAAACAAACGATAATTCATAGGGTACAAAATAACTGAAATAATAAAAATATATAAATTTTAGTTGTTTTAAATAATCTTTCCTTTGACCTGTTGCCCTTATTCCATTAGATGAAAATGAGATTTTTTTATGTTTTAATAATTTTATACCTCAAGTAGTTGGTATGTTAGATACATAGGAAGGTAAAAAACAGAATTTCATAGCTATATTTCATTGGCTAATAGTTCTTTTTTTAATGTATAAGTATCTTGATCACAGGTAAAAATGTATAGTGCAATATGATAAATACATCCTAAACTTGCATGCTAATAGTTCTTATAGGCTCCAGATTGTTTTATTTGTGGCCTTTTCCCACTCTTAACCCCTCTTTTATTCAGACTACTCAATCACAGAAACATCAGATAGTAGAAATGAATCTCTTGGCTATGAGGGAAATTATAAAATTTAATAAATAATGCATAATTCTTACCTGCAAAACATTTGATGATTCCTAGGTTAAAACTCTGTCTACAGAGAGTGATTGACAAATTAGAACTGCATTCTGTGGAATAAAAAGAATGCTGTAGGCATTAATAATAATAATGTGTAGGCACAGAAGCTAATTAACTTGTCTTGGCTGCCTTTAGCCATCCAGAACAGCCAATCCTTGTCAGCATACATGTCTGAACTAACATCTATAGACTAATAGGTAAATTTCTTTTAGAATCTATAGATTTATCAAACCACTTGCTTATATCAAACCAAAAATTAAGAACATTATCTTTAGTATATAAAAAAGTTCCCTGTTGTGATGTAACTGCCTTGCCAGTTATCCTCCAGTGTGTCAATACATGCCTTTATTTGTGACACTTTTTGTTCTGTAAAACTTTAAAACTTCATAAAACTGCTTCCATTTTGTAAAATGAATTTTAGGTAATAATAACTTATTTCATGATCACGGTCACAAAATAGCTTCATAATAATCTCTTATTTCTATAAAAATAATTATATGCATAAAAAAACTTTATAAAAATAAAATGGCGCAAGAGAAAATATTGGAATAATGTAGTGACGGTACCGATAATATAACTAGTAGAAGAGGGTGCAAGAAAGAGAAGGTTTTCAACAGAGTTCAATATATTATGCAGTAGGATGTGAAGAGAAAGTCTTAAGTGCTTATATATACTACGGATAGTGTATGTAGTAGAAAATATGAGATGGAGAAAGTAAGACTTGTATATGGAGAAAGAAGACTATGTTAGCAAAATATTAAATTGATCAAATAGGTAAGGTAGAATTTTTAAGAATAAGTTTACCATCTAAATACATTAGCAGATCTAGGAAATTGGTGTAAGTACACACAATGGAGTAGAACTCAGTCATAGAAAATAATATTACCCTAGTATGAGAAGCCAAAGGTATAGAATAGGAGAGTATTATGTTAGGAGAACTTTCAGATACAGAAAGATGAAGTCTGTGTGTTCTCTCAAATGTATATTTTAAGTTATTTATTTATTTATCTATCTATTTATTTATTTATTAAAAATTTTCACCTCCTCCCCACCTCCCATTTCCCTCCCACTCCCCTTACTCCCACTCCCCCTCCCTCTCCAGTCCGAAGAGCAGTCAGGGTTCCCTGTCCCATGAGAAGTTCAAGGTTCTCCCCCCTCCAATTATTTGGAGCTCATAAGGAGGTTGGAGTTACATAGAACAAATAGGTTCTACATCTTCAGCTTTCCCAGTTTTGGGATAGCAACTGAATGGCAACACACCTAAATCTGTATGTGTGTAAGGTCACACAGGTCAGTGTGTAGGTCAGGACCTAAAGTGTGTAAAGCAAGTGCTTTACTGATTGAACTACCACATTTCTCTTACTTATCAATCACTTGGTGGTCATCTAAGGTAATTTCATGCCTTAGAAAAGTCTAATATTGCCTCTGGCTGTGAAGATATCTCTATTTTATGGTGCCTTTGGTTTTTTTTGGAAATACACTCAAAAGAAATGTAGCTGGTCATATAGTAGTTCTATTTTTCATTTCTAAAGAAAAGTTTTACTAAAATATATTTTAAAAATTATATTTAGGGAAATCAAGAGAATGTTATGAATTCTTTTCTTTTCCTCAAATCATTATGCAGTTTGATTTTTTCAAGTATATTGCAACATGTTGAATAGTGTTAAGTAGTATTGGGAAGATACTGAATTTAAAGACACCATGACATAAGAACACTCACTTCTCTGGACCTTAGTTTATACATGGTAACATCACTGGAAGTTTTAGAAAGGTGTGCTGTATATATGCATTAGAACTTTTGGTAAAAACCCTAGAAAGCATATCATTCTGTCAAGTAGCCCAGCCAAGCTATCACAGCTCTTCAGGCCACCATTCATCTAGCAATTAATTCAGTCTGAGGTAAAAAGCAACATCCTCTACTCTTCCAGCTGCATTGATAAGAGAAGCTATTAAGCCTCGCAGATGATAGAAAATGTTTCTTCTTACCAAGAGAAAGATTTTATATTTTATGTTAAATGAAAGTAATTAAAAGATATATATCTCAACACAAGTTAAAGAAGATAAGAAAATTCAAATCATCTCTAACAAATAACACCGAAAGATATAGGGTTACACTAAGATCCCAAGTAAGCTACAGCTAACCTGACCGCAGGCTTTTTCATAGAAGCATACTTTTCTAGCTTCTGCAAGATAATTCAATAGGATAGAAAATTTTATGCGCTAAATACAGTGCCGTGAAAACATACATGCCAGGTTATGTTAGTGTAGTTCCATGTTTGATGGCCACTGACAGACATGTTTTATTAATTCGCAGGCAGACTTTGTGAGGTCATTCTTATTATCTCATGATCAGGAGAAGGAATCAGACATCCAGTAAAAGGGAAGAGTGGTGTTCAGTGTCATGCAAAGCCTGTATATTGAGAAGGATGAGAGTAGTTTTCCTTTGGTAGATTAGGAAGTCTGTCCCTAAAGAAATTAGCAAGTAATATCAGTATTAGAAAAGCAAAATTAGTCCTGATTGAACCAGCACACAGGATTACAGAGCCACCTACTAAAGAAAGGAACAAAAGAAGAAGAGATTCCACAAAATGGCAATAATTGAGGAGAGGATGGACAAAAATATTGTTATGTCTTGAAAAATAATAAAACTTATTTTTCCTGCCAAAATAATACAATCACAGTGATCATCTACTGTATTCTCAAGAGTATCGAAGAAAATACAGTAAAGAGACAAAGGAATTAGTTTCCAGATTACTTGACCTTTTGCCTCATATAAATGAGCCAGGAAATTATATTATTTTATCAAAATTATTGTTTACATATAAACATGTATCATTTGACACAAATTCCCTTAAAAGGCATAGAGTTTTTATATCTTGCATTTATTTAGTGTATGATTTATGAATAAATTAGTTTTATTTAATTATTTGTTTAAGTATTTTTATTTTATTTATTTATAGCTTATATATCTATGTATGTAGTTTATGCAGGGGTGTCTGTGTAAATAGGAGGTCAGAGAAGCATGTCAATTATCCTGATATATTATTGCTTTATATTCTTGAGACAGGCTCTCTCATTAAACTTGGGATTAGCTTGAATGTCAGAAAACAACAGTAATCCTCTTGTCTTTGCCCCATCTCATCGTTGGTGTGACAGGTATGCATGACGATGCCTCGCTCTTCACAAGGACACTAGGTACTTATGCTTGCCAGTAAGTACTCCTTGTTCCAAGTCATTTCCCCACACCAGATATCATAATTTTTGAACTCTAGTTCTATATATTCATTGTGCCAAGACCTCTGCGACTAATCAAGTGTTTTGTCTTCATTCAAGTGTGTTACTCCTACTCATTAGTCTTATGCAACGAAACAATTATATAGGCATGATGATATAACTTTCCACTCTTTTGAGAAGTGCAGTTCATATGTTTAGAATGACTGAGGTAATGACTCAGTTATTGTTATGCTGACATAATCACAGGATTGTTGTTATTTTTGACTTACAAAGACATAAACAGTTTTAATAAAACTAAAGACATGCCATTGTTCAGACTGTAGTGAAAAGGGCACATGCTACTGTGACTGTGTCATGTCTAAGAAGGAGTTTGTGTTGCCTATGATTTTTGACAGATTTAAAGAGTTTCAGTTCATTTACTCCATAATTCTCTTTCAAAGAAACTGTTTGTTGTTGTTGTTGTTGTTGTTGTTAACAACTTCAGTTTAAACACTGTATTAAGAGAAAAGGTGGAATAACTTTGGGGAGCAAATGATGTATAGAATATAGTTATCAATCATGGACATAAAAATATTAGTTATAATAAATTTGGCTACTTGGTTATCTCACAGTAACCTCTATAAGCATGCAAAATATTTCATTACTGTAAAAGTGTTTAAGAATCCAAATAATGGATAGCCGGCCTGCAGCAAGCTAAGACTGCAGGCAGGGAGACTTCTGAACAGCGAGGGGCTCTGATCCTGTGGAGGGTAAGTGTGTTGACTGCCATACAAGTCCGGTTAGGGAACACACAATATTCCC